CTTCCCCTTTTTGATTGCATTTTCACATTCATTTTGGTGATTTTGATTGCATTTTTCCATTCGAAAATAATTGTTTGTAGCGAATCGAAGACCACACTGGGGTCTTGTCGAATCACTCATGACAAAAAATGCAATGTGAACATATTATCCTTTTAATAAATAAAATGAGCATACATGCAAGGATATCTACATGACACCTAGTACATCATAAAATGTTATGTTAACATCATGGCATGTACTTCCAGTAGTGATAAAAAATTTATGTTGAAAGGAATATGATTGCAACGAGCAAACAACTGAAACTCCACCTAAGAATGATGAAATCTCACCAATGTGGCGTTTGGTTCCGCGATGCAAACTCAACCCACGTTACAGTGGCAATTTGTTAAGATGTAAGGTTCATGAAAAAGGCGGGGTGATTGCATCATAATCTTTGATAAATTATGCATGAGCCTGTTAGTAAGGAGAAATGTCACCCCACGACATGCATTGTAACTATTAACAAAAAGTATTGTTGTGTGTGTGTGTGTGTGTGTGTGTGTGTGTGTGAGAGAGAGAGAGAGAGAGAGAGAGAGAGTTACCTTTCACCCTTTCACCATGTATTTGAGAGCAAAACATGAAGAAAGACATTCAGATCAAATGAATATTGTAAAGTTGTCACACTTGTTGTGTGATGGTACAATGAACACTACTCTGGTGATGACAGCTAATCCATGTACTAAAGATGTCAACTAAACCGTTGGATGTTATTTTCTCTTTCATTGTAAGAATTGTTCATCTGAATTATAGAGGATTATAAACCTTGGATTGTTCATGTACTCACTCTTGTCCTTTTTACCCTGCATATTAGATTCGTGTCAAGTAAAATTTTACAAAGTTTGATCAAATTTATATTATAAAATATCAACATCTACAAATACCAAATATATATACTATGAAACTACATTTCATAATGAATCTAACAATATTAGTTTCACATTGTGAATGTTGATACCTTTTTCTATAAGTTTGGTCAAAGTAAAGGTAGTTTGACTTTGGACAAAACTTATATGCAGACTAAAAAGGACCGAAGGGAGTATGTTGTTATTTGAAACTACACAGTGCACCTTAAATGATATAGTGTCACTAATAGTGGTGTTTGGGGTTCTGATGCAATCTCATACCATGTCACAGTGGCAATATTTCTAGAGTTCTTGGAGAGTAAATTTCGCATGCTTTTGAAATTTCAATGCACCATACACAAGAGTCTGTCTTGAAATTTGAGTTATCCCATGACATGCTTTGTAACTGTCGGTGGATGACCAAATATGCTAATATATATGCCATTCACCATATACTTGGGATCACGACGCAGAGAAAGACCTTTAGACCAAACACATACTTAAATTCACCACATTTTTTGTGCAAATTCTACTGTGGATACTTCCCCATCAATGATGGCTAGTACTCATCCACACTAAAGACCTCATATAAACTAATGGATGCTATTGTATCTCTAATCATAAATATTATTCATATGAATCCGAGAGATTTATCGACGTCCTGCAAGTGCATATGGTTTAGTTGTAGTTGTTTTTGAAGTAAGAGTATCAATCCCATAAAGAGCTGACAAAGATAGTCTTTTGCCCCTCGTAGAGGTTTATCACAAAGTGCCTGCAAGTTATCTTAGATTCCAATGAAAAGCAGTGTGCAGAATGGCTATTGAAAACCATATAAAACTAGGAAAAAAATTCATGTGGTTGTTTGATTTGTTTAATAGTCGCAATAACCCTAATTGTCTGTACATTTACCCCTAAAGGGCTTAAGACAGTATGATTTCTTATGAGCACCATTGAAGTTACACAAAAGGGGCTAGGAAAATGATCAGATGCCGCTAATGGTGGAGTTTGTTAAATGAAGAGTTTTCAAAGGGTGGTGATAATATGTTGGATCTTGTCACACTTTTTTGTGCAATGATGCAATTCACACTACTATGTCAGCTAAATGATACCCTGTGCGTTGCCACGACACATTTAGCCAAAATTAGATATTTAGGAATATTACATACATATGAGCGCATGAAGGAGAAGATTCAAAATGGGAAAAGAATATTAATGAAACATCACACATCAGCTAGGCTAGTATACAAATAACTCATATGATCGATTAACGACCACTCAAATGTTAGGTAAATGTGACACCATGTGGATTGTCAGAATACATTGCATTATGACATTAATAATGTATACACGTTTTCCATCCAATACATATGGGCTTCTAAGTCTACCTCAAATTAGAAATTACCGAAATGACATTCTAGCACATGCCTTCTAAAATATTGTCATTCACCTGCATGTGAATCGGGTCAGGGAATGGAATGCATAAGAGAAAACAAATTTCTCGTTGACTTGATTAATTTTTGAAACATCCCTTAGAGTCGTACACTAAATCATTTAATATTGGTGTAGTACATGGTCTAAGACGAATAATTTACTTGCTCTGGGACATAAGGCAAACCAAAATACTTAGATATCCATTAATGAAAAGAACAATCAAGATACTAAGGTACTGCCAAAATAATTAATGAATATGTTTAGTAGTTGTGTACTATCAAGAAATTAACACCACTAAATATTTGCTTTGGCTATTAATGAAAAATATCATGGTCTCACACCACTCTTTATCTCCTTTTCTTGTAGTCAAATCGCTGCATATGTTGAAATTAAAGAAGTTGACCGAACGACCAGTGAAAAATTGGGAAGGTGAAACAATAAGCAATTGTGAAAATGAACAACTTGCAAGATACTAGAGTACACTATTCAAAAAAATTACAATAGCGTGAGATCAACCATGGAAATGCATCTAGACCTCTCATACAAAATAGTTGCTTAGCCATGTAATTTAAACAACATAGATGAAAAACAAATGAGGTTTTGTTTTAGAATGTCACCTTAGGAGGACCTAACCTATAATGAGGTTTTGTTTTAAAACCTGCAAGCTAGCATCGGCTGAAAAATAGAACGGGACATTGAAAGACCAGAAGGAGAAAACAAATCTTTATAACAAAATTGACCATCATCCTTTTTCAATATACATGCTAAACTAAATCATAAATGGTACATAATCTTCTAGTATCCGAAACTTGGCGTGAAATTCAATAGTAATTCAGAGCACATAAAATTCTAGCCAAAGCCACATGCAAAGATATGCCGCAAACAAATCAATATGGTATGCTTCACCATAACCTCCATGTGCAAGCCTAGGATGTCATGGAACTGGAAAGCAATACAAAAATATGTAAACACAAAGCAACAAAACCAATAGAAGAGTGCAAGTAAATAAATCGTTACAGTGTCAGTGAAACTTATCAACATGGATAAGAATGGCATGCGTGAAATGGACCCAGTCAATCAAAGTCATAACAAAGTAGATCCCTTGCACGCTCAAGCCCAAAAGGAAGCATGATATCATATATCATATCGCTATGCACACCAAATTAAATCAAGGGTGTGAGAATTCACCCAAGGATTGGGTTCAATTCCCTTGGATCATCAACATATGCCTTCTTGACGTGGGCGTCAACACCTCAGAAGTTCTTGATTGTCCGTCCTTGGAACAATGACGAAAGAGCACGAATATGACCATGGAGGTGTTAACCTGAATCAGGAGGACAAGAGAAATTGGATTTGGAGGGGGAAATATGAACATCTGAGGGATTGATTTTATAATTGACTAATGGTTAATTTACAATTAATTAAAACAGAGCAAATTGGTGGGAGTCGGAGAGGAGCGGGCATTGTGGATTTGGAGAAGATGAAGAGCCTAAAGGAAATCGACCACAACTAGAAATATGGAAGAGGTGAGTTTCTCGTAAAATGATAGTGGTGGAAAAAAGCCGAAATGAGGGTGATGGCTTGGCATCAAGAAATCGCCGGAAAATTAGATAGTAGGATTCAACTAATTTATGAATATACCCTAAAAATACTAATTTATGAATAGAATATGACACAGAAGAAGCCATCCGAACTATTAGATGTGTTTTGAATTAAAGGTTATTTCATATGCATTCCGAAGGATCATAATCCTTGGCAAAATTTTTCCACGTGGTTGTTTGATTTGTGAGGTGGAATCCCATATAAAAATATTTAATAGGGTAATGTTATCCTTCATTTTAGTTCCCTATAGCCGTCGGCTCCCCTAAAAAGCTAGGGTTTCTTTGCCTCTCACCGCTGCTGCCGTCTGTCCGCCTCGTCTCCGGTGGTCTTAGAGCCATGGGAGCGGAGTGGATCTCGGACCTTGTCGGTGGGAGTGTTCCGTTTTTAGATCTTTCTTTGAGTGTTGTTAGGGTTTGTGTCCTGCTCAGGAATACGAGACGACGACGACTCTCTGAAGATGGAATAAGATTCTCCCCGCTTAGGCTTCGTCCGGTGATGCTTCTAGTATCGTCAGTGCGTGTATGAAGGTGTGTCTCCGGCATATATGTCTTTGGTGAATTTGCTCGGATCTGTTCGTCGTTCGTCTTTGTTCTTATGTCTTTAGGTTGGATTCTTTTGATCTATGCTGGCGGCGGTTGATGCTCTGTTGCGTTGGTCCTATGAGGCCTTAGAATGATGACTTTTCGATTGTCTACTACAACAAGTTTTGTCCGGCTCCGGCGAGGGAGGGACGACCATAGTGGCACGCCTTTGACTCGCTTCAGTGCTCATAGTCGTCACTACGTGGTCTACGGATTTAGATATAATTTTTATTATTTCTAGCGTTCGTTGTACTACCATGATTGAAGAAGAATAGATCGGAAGTTTTCTAGTAAAAAAATGGTATCCTTCGTTTCGGAAAAAGTAATCATCATTTGGTTGAAATCTCTCCCGAGAAACCATTTGCTGAAAATAGCTCTTCCCCGAATAAACCGAACGAAGAAATCCACCGCAAAACTCAAAAAGAAAGGAGAGCGCGGAAACAAAACTAAAATTTCCGGATTCCCCTCCTCTCCCCCGGTGGCCGGAGTCCTACCGGCGGCCGCGATGGCCAACAAGCTGGTCTCGGACATGTGCCTGCCTCCCCACCTCGCCCACCTCCTCGCCGCCCGCCGCCTCACCACGGCAAAGGTCAGCCACCCCCTCCGCACGAAACCCCAATCTTCCTCCTCCCCTCACCCTGAAACCGGCCGCCGCCTCTAACCCGCTCCGCCCCAGGACGTGCTCTCGCTGCCGGAGGTGGAGCTCATGTCCCTGCTGGACGCGGGCCTCGCCACGGCCCGCGACGCCGTCTGCCACGTCAGCGAGTTCGCCTGCCCTCCCTGCCAGACGGTACCCGGCCTCGCCTCTCTCGCCATTTCGGGTTTGGGGGTTTCTGAGCGATTGATGTTTTGCGACCGGTTTGCGCAGGCGCTCGCGCTACTGGATGAGCGGGTGAGGCTGGGGGGCGGCGGCCGGCTGGCCACCACGCTCTGCGGGCTGGATGAGGCGCTGGGGGGAGGTATCCCCCTGGGCAAGCTCACCGAGGTCGTCGGGCCCTCGGGGATCGGCAAGACGCAGGTGAGACGCTCCGCTTGAGGATTTTGCATCCAAGCGTCGCTGTGTAGCGGCGCTGTAATCATATGAGCTTTTGCCGCTGTATATGCAATGTGGGCTTGTGTGTTTCTGAATGCCAACTAATTCCTGTACCCCTATGCAACAGAGAAGTAGAAGGAGGACCTCGTGTATTCATATTATCTGTCAGTGCGTTACTAATTTATTGTGGGCTAATTGCTGCTTACTAGTAGGGATTTAGACCTCATGATTTCGGTTCGTTAGTCAGAATTTTTCGTTTGAATTATAGAGACATGTTTTTGTGAATGCTTTTGTTAACCATGTTCAGTTCAAAGACACATTCATGTGGGTCACTTGACAATTTTCCCTCCCCAGTGAATCCCAAGTATGTTGATTTGATATGTCAAATTTAAACCATTTACTTTCTCATGAGTAATTGAGTTGCTTTGTTTTACAATTAGTCTCTATAAATTTGCTGAAAGGTTCGCACACTCTGTAGTTTTGTCTGAAGCTTGCGCTGTTAGCAACGTTACCAGAATGCTATGGGGGCCTAAACGGTCGAGTTGTGTATATTGACACTGAATCCAAGTTCTCTTCACGGAGGTAGCTTAGTTCCATCTTACTACTCCAAAGTCCCAAGCATGTCATTTAAGAAGTATGTGTAGTGATCAACCTTCATGATATGTTGCAGGATGATCGAGATATGTCAGAAAAGCTTTCCTCAAATATTTAGGCAAGAAGGCTTAGCACAAAAGGTTGTTATAATTCATCTTCTAGTTACCTATACCAGGCAATGCTTAATCTTTCAGTTTAACATTATACATGACTTCTTCGGCTGTTGTGTCAAACCTTCTATTTTTTGTGCAGATGGCTGGCAGGATCCTAGTGATGCGACCAGCATCATTATCTGATTTCACAAAGAGGTATATTTTTCTGACACTCAACCAGTGGATTGTGGAAGGCTGATGTCTGGTGATTGTCGTTATGAGGTTCCATGAATAATAGAAAACTTTCATTAACAATTCTTGAAATACTCCTCTTTTGGCCAATATAGTGTGGCCATTGTTTTCACTATAATTTTGTTGGATGCTCCTCAAAATTTACATGTAAAAGAAATTCATCATGCTGCACAAAACGCTTGAATATTCTTTTTGATGTTTTTCTCGCCCTTCTACAGTTTGGAACAGATGAAGGTGACTCTCCTCCAAAATGATGTGAAGTTACTCATTGTTGATAGCGTGGCTGCTTTCATGTCATCGTAAGATATGCACACCAGATTTTTTATTTATTTGCTTTTGACTTCACACAATGATAGGGTTTTTTAAGTATGAGGAGCCAATGGTAGTTTCCACAGTGAGTTTTTCTCAGTTGCTTAGCATATTCCATGTTTACAAATTTAGAAAGTCATCTGGCTTAACATAATAACTTTAATCAAACACTGGGTTGCCAATTCATTGCTATGTGCCAAACTGTTGATAACTATGAATCTCTGTCTTACATTACTGAAAACTTTGAAATACTAAATTATCGAAAAAAAGGTCGAGCCAATACTAAGCCCTTGGCAGCATTTTTTTTAATAGAATGGCTACCGAAAACAGAAGGGTGAACAGCTTGCACACCCACAGAACTAGCCAACAGAGTGTTGTTTGGTTCTTGAAATATTAAATTATCACAAGTTCTTGAAACATGGCCAGAGCTTTGGTGGAGTGTTAACATTCCGAATGGTGTGC